TCGAAGCATTTCCAGCCTTTTTGAGCATCCGCCGTCATTGTCCAGCTGGTATCCCTGAATTATTGTTTTATCCCCTCCGCATCGATTTCTCGGGGCCAGTTGTGCTGTCTTGTAGCGTGCAATACCGTTCTTTCAAGAGTCAAGATAACATATTTTTGCCGCGCAAATTTAGGGGCAGTGATTGAATTTTATTGTGATAATTAGTGAATGAAGTATAGTGATAGTGGTTAAAAATTACAGTATGCATCGCCGAACGTGCTCGATTCATTCCCGACAACGCATGTCGCTGATGGTGCTGATGTGAATGATGATAAAAAACCGGGTTGGCATTATGACAGGCCGAAATCGTTGCAATCTTTTATATCAACAGCATGTAAAATGAATGACGAACATAAGGTTGTGTTTTGCGCGAACTTTCGCGAGATGGTTATGCGTAACGTGGTAATTGACAGTCATTCCCGCCCTCATTGCGTTTCTAAAACTGAAGGATGTAAAAAGGGGAGAAATCACAATGAAGTCGATCAGGAGGATTTAAGGATTGCCAAAGAGCCGTTTGCTGCCGGCCTTCGCTTTATGTAAGATTGAATTTTTACATCTGTGCAACGCAAAAACGCATGTTTTCAGGCGGTTGTTTGTTTGTTTGTGTGTATGTGTAGGGGTATGTGTGTGTGTGTGTGTGTGTGTGTGTGTACATTTGCACCGAATTTTTATTTCGAGACCTACAAAAGCTACAGGGCTGAAAATTTGGCAGCATACCTTACACCACCTAAAAATACGAACCCCTATTTTCAAAATTATTGCTCTTGTCAGTGTGCTAACTAAAATACTGGTAGACTTAAAGTTTTAGCGGGTAATTTGCTACCTCGGGAACCTGAAAAGCTAGGGAGACTAGCTTTTGGAGGCATTGCCGCCCTTAGTCTGCTCGCTGTTGGATTTGTTGACTTCACCGACCTCTGCTTGAAATATACAAGATACAGAGGGAGTGAAAGAAAGGACTTCCTCCCAGTCATCTTACTTTCTGTCATTATATCACAGACATCTGTTAGATTCTAGTCTGATTTCAACAAAATCGGTTGGAGGCGCCTTTGAAGTTTTACATATTCTTCCAGTGAACTTTGATGATGATTTTCAGCTGAAGCTGATCATAGCAGCTGATTTGATCGAACAGTTACGAGGCCAAATCAAAGAGTTCACAAAATTCAGTTGTTCAGCAGGCATTGGCAGTAGCAAGGTTCGTTTTCGAGCTCTCTCCATTTTGTTTGTTTCTGATTCGCGTAATGAAAAATTATTTGTTTCTTTTTAGTATATGTTTTATATTTCATAAATATCATTATTAATAACTTTATCACTTTATTACTGCTCAGTTTCATTTGGAGTTCTGTTGAAGGCTAGGGTAAAAAATGATGAAATGGGAAAAGAAGAGAAGGAAAACGAAGTGGTTGTGTCTGATTGATTCTTCCCATTCTCTAAATTTTCATATTTCAGATGATTGCAAAATTGGTATGTTCGCGACATAAACCAGGACAGCAGACGGTTGTGTTTGATGAAGCTATCCCACGAGTTTTCACACATACGCCAATAAGTGATGTGAGAAATCTCGGTGGAAAATTAGGGCGATCATTGATGCAGAAATTTGATATTAAGGTATTTTTATTATA